GGGAGGGGGGTGGGGAGGGGGGATGGGGGGGCAGGTGGGTGGGCTGGGAACAGAGGGGGGGTGTATTGCTTGTTTTTTTGAACTTTTTAAATAAAGTTTGTCTCTTCTGCCATCCTGGGTGTGTTTCTTTCCCTACCTACACCCCCCCTCCCCACCCCCCTGCCCACCCTTCCCCCCCTCCCATTTCCCTCCTTCCTCTGGACCCCTCCCATCTATGGCCCCAAGGGGGGGGCCAGGGAGGGGCAGACCCTGGGTGCCCCCCCCCAGGTCTACTGGGCTGAGAGGCCCCTCCCCATCTTCCCAGGGCTTTCCTCTCCCCCCCCCCCCAAGGAGGCTGCTGGAGGAGGTGGGCAAGGCAGGCCCTGGAAGGATGTTAGAGGCAGGCTGGGGAGGGGGCTCCTTGCCCACTTCCTCTTCTTTTCCTAGCCCCCTTGGTGCCATGCTGGCAGAGACTCAGCAGGGAAAGGGAGGCCCAGAGAGGTGGGGGGGATTGGCAGGCTTTCCCCCCCCCCAGCCTTTCAAGGGAGGCGTTTGCCCCTGGCCTGCCAATGTCCCCACCCTCCAGCCCAGGACCCCCCATTGCCTGGCACCAGGGGAGCTGGGAAGGGAAGAGGAGGGGCGTTGCCAAGGAGCCCCTCCCCAGCCAGCCTCTAACATCCTCCCAAGTGCCTTCCTCTCCCCACCTCCACTTAGCCCCCAGCAGCCCTCCTGGGACAGAGGGGGGGAGGAGGAAGAGGTGATGGCCCTGGGAAGATGGCAGGGGCCACCCCAACCCTGCAGACCTGGAAGGGGGGCACCCAGGGCCTGCCCCTCCCTACCTCGGTCCCCCCCTTGAGGCCAAAGATTGGGGGGGGGGCAAGAGGAGGGAGGGAAATGCAGGCACTGGGAAGATGGGGGCTGCAGGCAGGCCAGCTCTTGGGGGGCTCTTGCCAACCCACTCTGGCTAAGGCCTGCCCGCCCCCCCCATCTTCCCAGCACCTGTGCCCTCTACTTACCTGTTCTCACCTGTCCTCGTTGTCCTCCTTGCCATCTGGTGGTTCCCACAACTGGTCGCACTTTTATTTCATACTTACCCCTTTGCTGGCTGATGAGGCCAGGATTTCATCTAATAAGCTGGGCTGTTTACCCACCAATACTTAATATTAGTCTCCCACCCACCCAAAAAAGGAATTGTAAGTTCTGAAGGACGCACCCCGATACCCTACCTGTTTTACAAAGGGAGTGAATTCTCTTTTTTGTTTTTTATTGTTATTTGAACTGCTTTGCTGGAAAGCCTTCAAGTGGGTGGGATGCTTTTAACAAGAAGCTAAGGTACCAACTGAGCTATCTTGGATTAATGCACCAGGGGAGGGAAGAAACACAGACACAGCAGGGGTGTCTTCAAAATTTGGCCCCTGCATTCTTTCCCCCACCCCAAATTGGGCAAACACACACACACACACACACATTGGTTGAAAGCTGGCAAGGGCTCCATGTTGGTTGCCTGGGTGTGGAAATGTGCAATTCTGTATCCTCACCCAGGCTGCCCTGCCTTAAAATAAAACACTGCATCCTTTGGGCACAAAAGCCAATTAAAACGGAGCATACCTGTGTATTGTATACACACACACACACACACACACACACACGTAGAATACAGCTCAGGGTTGAACTGTGGGGTCTTTGGTGCTCTCCAAACTTGGGTTTTCTGGCAGGCGTTTCATCACCCAGCTTGGTAACGTCATCAATGCCCTGATCATCCCATCCTCACTGCATGATGTTACCTAATTGGGTAATGAGACGTCTGCAAGAAAACCAAGCTCAGAGAGCACCAAGGACCCCTCACACACAGAGAGAGACTTCCAGAAGGGAAGCAATGGGTTACCCCCATTCCCCCAAGCACAATATCCTTCCTGCTTCCTTTCTGCCTCCTTCCCAACAATTCCCAGGCAGCCAAACCCGCGGCTGATGGGCCTCCCTGCAGCCTCTAAGCTGCAATAGCACTTAAAAAAACTTCTATGCCACTTCACAGGGCTTTTAGAGCTGTCTCTAAGCGATTTACAGAGTCAGCAAAGCATTGCACCCCCAAAACAATCCAGGTCCTCATTTTACCGACCTCATGGGAGTCCCGAATCAACCAAATGCCCAGAAAGACCAGGATGGAAACAAACGAGCGAGCTAGCAAACCAACCATCGATGCCCATCAAAGAGAGACACACAGGAAGTCAAAGGAGAAGAAAAAGATATAACTCCACACAAACAGGCTGTGCTCTACCATCCAAATAATAATAATTAAAAAAGGACATGGAGTTTGGACACTGGATCACTTTTTCGGTCTCAAAAGCTGCTAGCGATGCATAGACCTCCCCCCACAAGAAAAGAACACTGCACCTGTTCCAGCCAGGGAGGTGTCCCCCCCCCCACAAAAAAGGAAGAGGGAGGGGGGTTCCTTGCCCCTCCATGGCTGGTTTGCAGAGCCGTTTCTCCTTCCCCAAGTGTGTCTTCCTAATAAATTTTAAAACCCCATCCCGCCGAGTCTTTATTTCCTCCCCCCAATACGAATATTTTAGCAGATTTCCACAGGCCTCTTCGGGGAGGGAACTTCCTTCTTCAGTGAGATGTCCAACGGTGGAGAATCCAGGCGTTACGAAGGGGGCTTGGGGGCATCGCCCAGGGCCTCCAAGAGAGAGAGGTCCCATTTTCCTGCTTGGGGGAGACCCGGCTGGGGAGAAGCTTCCCTCCGTAGGGGGACGAGGCCACGCTTCTGGTGGAAGGTTGGGCAAAGCTCCACGGGAGGAAGGTTGCACTGGGGAAGCCGCCGGGAAACAGGCACAACACCCGGCCCACCTCTTGGCTACCTGGAGGAAAAACAGCAAGGAAAGCAAATGAAGCATCTGGGAGGATTTGAGCACAGGGCCGAGAGCTGGGGATTTGGGAAACTGAGAGCCGAACCAAGCAGAGGGTGCAAACCATTTCATAAAGAAAAGCTGAAATGCAACCTTTCTTCCAGAGCACAGAGGAGTTAACAGCCCTGGCACTAAGGAGGAGCCCGCGTGGTACGTGCCACGGGCTTTAAAGCCTTACGCGTGCCCACTGCAGGACGGGAAGCTTGATGGGAAGAAGAGGGAGGAGCAAACCTTAAGGGACTCAACCTCCAAGTGGAAAATGAGAGAAGGTATCGATAGGACATCGATAGAGCTGAAGAAGCTTCTTGGATGGGAAGCGAAACGTCTTCAAAGAAAACCCAGGAAAGTTCAGTTCTCCCTTGGAAAAGCAACTTTGGGATATTGACAAGAATATTTGTAGCTCAGAGGTCCTTGGGGCTCGCCAAGCTGGGTGGTTTCGTTGTAGACGTTTCAAAACCAAACTAAGTAACATCATCAGTGTTGGAAGGAAATGGGGTTTGTGGAGAGGAGGAGGAGGGGGGAGGAGGAGGAGGGGAGGGGAAGGAGGAGGAGAGGAGACTGTGGAGTTCTTGGTGCCTTCTTGGGTCTTATACCTGAACAGGTGAAGGGGCCCTGGGAACTGCCACCCTTCAACGCTTGTAGGTGAAGGGGGGGCTTCCAGGTCATGTTGTACTGCCTGCATCTCAAATGGTGCAGTTTCTGGCCCTCTCTAAATGGTTGCAAACCACGCACAGAGCAATAAACATTGTTTACCAATGCAAAAAAACAACAACCTTGCTCTCCAACCCACCCAATTCCCTCCCCATCATACGCATTTGTTTTATGTTAAAACGATAAGGGCAGCACTATTACTTCCCCCCCAAGCCTGGGCTCTTTACCAGGGATCTCATAAAAAGGTTCTTTGGGCCATGGTTCCCTGGGGAACGATTTGTGCTGGAAATAACCCCGATTCAGAGAAAGGAGGGAGAACCAGTGCAATCCTGTGAGTGGCTTTTAACAGCACACAAGGAGAAATTGGGATTGTGGGGCGCTGGGCAAAGGACAAAGGCCTTTGAAGATTTGGGGGGTGGCACCCCCAGAAATCCAGTCTTAAGACACAAAGGGAGGCCCTTCCAAGGTTTAAAGCCAAATGGTTTATCACCTGGGCAGCAAACCCAGATTGGATCCATGCATTCCATAAAGCTAGGATGGGCTGAAACCACAATGAACTAGTTTTCAGCCAGCCTGCTAAGGCCACAGTGGAGGCAATTTATGGCAGGCGTGGCCAAGCACCCAGCCACTTGGGCTGTGGGTTCACAAGACCCTTAACCCAGGTTAACTAACTAGAATAGAATAGAATAGGATAGATGAAGAATAGGATAGGAATAGAATTAGGAATATAATAGATGAAGAATAGAATGGGGTGGGGTAGGAATAGTAGAGTAGAGTAAATTAGAATTAGAGTAGAATTAGAGTAGAGTAGGAATAGAACACACAACACAACACAGAACACCAAGAAGAATAGAACAGAATAAAGGATAGGATAGAATAAGGGCGCTTAATGCATTTGCCATGAAAAACTTCCATTTCTTGCCTCCATCCTTCTGGGTCTAATCTTTCTTCGATGTCAATCATGGTTTTCCTCCCTTGTGGGTCCCCCCACTTTCTCTGAAGTTTTTTTTTATTTCCCTCCACCACCACCCCCTTTTTTTAAAGGCTACCCTGTGCATGCAAGCTGTTCACTTACCTCTATTTGGCCCCGAAGCACTGGAAGAATATTAATTCAGCAGCGAGTTCTGGCCCAGTTCATTGCAGCTTTGCACCCCGCCCCAAAAAATAAAATGGCAATTTCGACTTGATAGTCGCACCTAAAAAAGAAAAGAAACTCGTGCCCAGGGGCGGCAGAAGCGGCTCTGGCTCAAGCAAAAGAAGTATCGCTTTGCAAATGTGGAGCCTCGCCTCTAAAAATGCTTTCCCCCCACTTTTTTGGCCTTAAAAGTGGATTATTAGCGAAGCCAGGCAATCTCCCAGCTGCTGCCTTTCCTCCTAATAGGACTTTTTTCGACGCTCTAGGCTGCTGGAGAGAAAGGCCCCTTGCAAGGAGGTGTCTATCCGATTGCCTGCCCCGCTCCAATACACTTTTAGCTGGACCGTTTTCAAACATGATATTTCTCTCTCGCGTGATGATAATTTCCCTTCCCCTCTTTCCCGAGCCCGGCAATTGGATAGTTTCCCTGCCCCAACCGGTTGTCCCTTGCAGGCAGTCAGCCGGCCGCCTCAATTCGGTTCTATTGGAAAAGATAGGGCGATTGCAAGGGGGCCTAAAGGGGGGAGACGTCGCGCCTTGATTGTAACCCGCCTTTTAAAGGGACAGCCGGAGCTTTTGTCGAAGGGACTCGGGGAAAATACCTTACTCTGCGTCCCCCATCACTCTAGGGGGCGGGGAAGGGGTGAAAATAGACCTCAAATTACATGGAAACCGCGGTTTTCAAAGTCTATGGGAAATTGCACATTAACAATAATAGCCCGCCATCTCGTGGCCATTTTGCGTCATGGCAGGTGGCGGAAAGAACTTAATAATAATAGCCTCACATTACGTGAAAACCGCGGT